ACAAAAATTAAAAAATGGAAATCACATTTTTCAACCCATGGAGGTCTGGATTTGGAGTCACACTCAAAATTAAAGTGGAAAAACACACTACAGGCTGATCCAACTTTGATGTAAAAATGAGGCTCAGTAGTGTGTGTGGCTTCCACCTGCCTGTATGATCTCCCTACAACGCCTGTGCATGCTCCTGATGAGGTGGTGGATAGTCTCCTGAGGGATCTAGACATGATGTCCCAGATGTGCTCAATTGGATTCAGGTCTGGGGAACGGGCGGGCCAGTCCATAGCATCAATGCCTTCATCTTGCAGGAACTGCTGACACACTCCAGCCACATGAGGTCTATCATTGTCTTGCATAAGGAGGAACCCAGGGCCAACCGCACCAACATATGGTCTCACAAGGGGTCTGAGGATCTCATCTCGGTACCTAATGCCAGTCAGGTTACCTCTGGCGAGCACATAGAGGGCTGTGCAGCCCCCAAAAGAAATGTCACCCCACACCATTACTGACCCACTGCCAAACCGGTCATGCTGGAGGATGTTGCAGGCAGCAGAACGTTCTCCACGGCATCTCCAGACTCTGTCACGTTTGTCACATGTGCTCAGTGTGAACCTGCTTTCATCTGTGAAGAGCACAGGGCGCCAGTGGCGAATTTGCCAATCTTGGTGTTCTCTGGCAAATGCCAAACGTCCTGCATGGTCCTGCTGTAAGCACAACCCCCACTTGTGGATGTCGGGCTCTCATACCACCCTCATGGAGTCTGTTTCTGATCATTTGAGCATACACATGCACATTTGTGGCCTGTTGGAGGTCATTTTGCAGGGCTATGGCAGTGCTCCTCTTGTTCCTCCTTGCACAAAGGTGGAGGTAGCGGTCCTGCTGCTGGGTTGCTGCCCTCCTACGGCCTCCTCCACGTCTCCTGATGTACTGGCCTGTCTCCTGGTAGCGCCTCCATGCTCTGGACACTATGCTGACAGACATAGCAAACCTTCTTGCCACAGCTCGCATTGATGTGCCATCCTGGATGAGCTGCACTACCTGAGCCACTTGTGTGGGTTGTAGACTCCGTCTCATGCTACCACTAGAGTGAAAGCACCGCCAGCATTCAAAAGTGACCAAAACATCAGCAAGGAAGCATAGGAACTGAGAAGTGGTCTGTGGTCACCACCTGCAGAACCACTCCTTTATTGGGGGTGTCTTGCTAATTGCCTATAATTTCCACCTGTTGTCTATTCCATTTGCACAACAGCATGTGACACTGATTCTCACTCAGTGTTGCTTCCTAAGTGGACAGTTTGATTTCACAGAAGTGTGATTGACTTGGAGTTACATTGTGTTGTTTCAGTGCTCCCTTTATTTTTTTGAGCAGTGTATTTAATAAATATATATAATATATAAATATAGATTTTTTTAATGCTATTCCTCATTTTCCTTCTATTGGTTACTTTTACTCACTTAATATATGAACCAAACAGGAGTAAATGTGCCTATCAGTATACTGCCAAACATATACATAATAATTATACCACGTATATATTTTGCAGTAAATTGATTGCCCCATTTTCGCTCCCTTTTTGCTTTCTCTGAATGTTTTCATGAACAGTTTATCATTCTGTATGTTTGGCAGGAAAAATTAAATCAGAGAAACGAACATGGATTTCCCCAAATTGTGTTGTGCAAACCCAACAATCCCGCCATGTACAAGTCTAATTTCAAGCCTGAAGCTACTTTTTTCAACTGCTGCTAAACCTCCAACTAAGTATCTGATAACATAATCTGGCTGTTGGTAAAGGAGTAATGGCAGATTACAAAGGGCTGGTCTGGTGTATTTTGTGTATAAACTCAGGGCTATATGGATGTATTTGCTTTCTTAAGTATGGTTTGGGTGGGTTTCATTTTATGGAAGGCTATGCTCCTAGGAACACGATGAAGGTAAAGGGTTTTTTTTTTTTTTATGTTTAAAGGACGAAAACCTCTAGAGATGGATTTAACTAATGTATTAATGTATGTACTAAATACAAATGTTTTACATAATTTTACATTGCAGGGTAAAAACTAAAGGACCACTGTACCCAGATCACTTCAGTGACATGAAATGGTCTGCATGCCTTTAAAGTTGGACCAGAGGAACCAGAGGACAATTGGTTGTGGGCTATCTATTGTTATAGCAGCTGAGGTAATAGGGTACTTTCCTCTAGTGAAACACTAGGAAGCTAGGTTAAGTTGGTTGTCTAGAGGTTAACAACCAAGTTATGTGATGTGGTTTTAGCCTGTGTAAGGGGACAGTAGCAGTTGATTTGCCTGTGGTAGGTAATTTATTGAGAGGTGCACTATAAGAGTCTCTTCAAATACCTGTAAACAACTAGAAGATCACCTGATTAAAACACAATTATTGACACCTAGTCACCAGTGCGTCTTGCCTTATACCTGCAAACAAGTATAGCCTTTTTGAAAAATACTTAAGACTGCTATACACATTCCCTAGCTGGTTGCTAGTATCCTAGCCTCAATTTGACATATGTAAGGAGCCACTACTAAGGATTGATAGGCTATATCAATAGGCTATATCAATAGTAAATATATCCTCCTTTGGCCACAATTGAATAAAACCTGGTGGAGGTGCATACTTTGTAACTTACTTAGAACATTGTTATTTTTTCCTATCCTAATAATAAATAGTCAGTACTCCTATCTGAGTTGGGTAGACACACTGTATACTTTTGTTAGGCTTTAAAGGGATACTGTAAGTGCCAGGAATACAAAGTTGTATTCTCATATTCCCTCTGCCTCCCCCTCCCTCATGCCTTTCCACACTGATGTGAATAAAGAGTTAAAAACCCTTTATTTATTTACCTTACCCCAGTGCCTCAGCGCAGGGTCGTGGCTCTGCCTCCTCTGACATCCAGGGATGAGCATGCGCTAATGCGCATTCCTGGCAAATTCCGCAAGCATTAGACCTCCCCATAGGAAAGCATTGAATCTGATGCAGAGCGTGAGGACGTCCAAGGTCAGCGACCAGACAAAAGGTTTGTTTGGATCCAGTATTTGCCTCCAGTGGCTGGTAGACAGTCACTGGAGGCAGAATCTGTGCTGCAATGTTTATATGGAACTGCAATGTTTAACATTGCAGCACTAAGTGCAATAGACCATATCAATGAGCTGCAGTGGTCTTGGTGCATATAGTGTCCATTTAAACCTACAGTGAAAGTTTTTAACAGCTTTTGGTTTTCTTTCTCTTTTTCCGACCTTTAAAGCTGGAATATAAGCCACTGTACCACATGGCCTGCAGTGCAGAGCCGCACAAAGGATTATATACTCTGAATCACAAAAAGAGTTAAAATAGGATTCGCTCCATCCTGCAAAATAACCAGCCTTTGCTTTCCTTCATAAAACAGCAATCCAATCTACCTTTCTACGCTGGCAACTAAATGTTAATCGATTGCTCATCAATAATTAGATTACCAAATAACCGTAACCATCCATTTCTTGATGATTATGACTATTTAATATAATTTGCATCTTGTTTCAGTCTTGCTATATTTCAAGTAGATTTTCTTGCAAACATAATTTCCTTCATTCTTTGTAATATTAATATTTTATACATCATCTATAGTACTTTCACCATGTCCTACCAAGATTCCATTGACGGATGATGATTACATTAACAAAAGTGTTTGACTTGTTATTTTTTTACTCTGGCATTATGTGACCTTTATCCTTTTTTATTTTAAGAGTAGCTACCTGTCTATTTATATTGCTCTCATTTCCTTAATGGACCTGTTTTGTATAGTACTGTGGGTGCTAAAATAATTTAAAGTCACAAATACAATTTACTAGAATAAATCGATTGAACAGAACTTCACATTTAGAGAAAATTAATCCTGAAGACAAAACATAGGCTACTTAAAGGACCACTATAGGCACCCAGACCACTTCAGCTTAATGAAGTAGTCTGGGTGCCAGGTCCATCTAGGTTTAACCCTGCCTGCTGTAAACACAGCATTAGGGTTTATCCAGCCTCTAGTGGCTGTCTCATTGACAGCCGCTAGAGGTGCTTCCGCGCTTCTCACTGTGATTTTCACAGTGAAAAGACACCAGCATCCATAGGAAAGCATTGAGAATGCTTTCCTATGGACTGGCTGAATGCGTGCGCGGCTCTTGCGCATTCAGCCGATGACATCAGAAGAGGGAGGAGAGTCCCCAGCACCGAGGGAGCACGGCGCTGGAGAAAGGTAAGTGTTTAACCCCCTTTCTCCCCCTTCAGCTCGGCGGGAGTGGGACCCTGAGGGTGGGGGCACCTTCAGGGCACTATAGTGCCTGGAAAATGAGTTTGTTTTCCTGGCACTATAGTGGTCCTTTAATATTATAGGCAAATCTATCTTTGTCAGAAAGCTCCTACCCTCTACATCTTGCCACTTCCCACCAATTGTCATTTCTGACAATATAAAATAGCTTGGAATATTGCTGTATCTTCCACAGACCCCCATTTTGTATTTATGCATTGAGTAAAATAGTGTTCTTGCTCCCAGTGGCTTTTCTGCCAGGAGCTGAAGAAAAGGCTACCAGAAAAAGGTACCAAGGAAAATAGGTTTCGATATGTATATCTCCCCGAGTCTAACTCTGACTTGGACATCACCATGCAAATAGACATGTCATGAAAAAAATGCATAGGCCGTTTAAGTGACAATATGATTTTAAGCTTCTAAAATTGTTAACACAATAAACTTTAAAACAGTGATTTTATGATTATTTTTGCAACAATGGGGTCGAGTAATTAAACTAAAAATCAATGTGAAGCAGTTCGTTATAAATAAAGTAATATGTTTGAATGTATTTGAAAAAATAAAAAAATTAAATTAAGGCATAATTAATAAGGCTACAGTGAATTTCTTGAAAACAGACTGGATTTTTTATGTCTTCAGATGAAGCCAGAATAAAATAATTCAGGCACTTTTGTACATGCTAATCTCACTTTACAAACATAATTAGGAATGTCATTATGGGAGAAATCGTGCATCTCTCTCTCTCTGTCTCTCTCTCTCTCTCTCTCTATATATATATATATAGAGAGAGAGAGAGAGAGAGAGAGAGAGAGAGAGCTCTATAGAGCTTTCCTCTCTGTTAAATGCCCGGTGATCAGCTGCACAAAAATACAATCTCCAAGTAAAGCCAGCACTCAAGGACTTGTGTAAAAAAGAATGACTTTTAATCCATAGTCATAGTCAATGTTTCAGTTTACATCAGCAAACTTTCATCAGGACATAGATTTATCTCTGGACTATGGATTAAAAGCCATTCTTGTTTTTTACACAAGTCCTTGAGTGCTGGCTTTACTTGGAGATTATATATATAGGCACCTTCCTACTGCCTACTATGCACAACACAGGCTGGTATGGTTACACTTGTCTTTCAAGGTTTGGAGAGCATGTGGGACACAAGTGATTTTCTCTTGATCTGAGTCTACAGATTCCAATTCTCTGCTTCCAGATACTTTAGCAGGAACTCATGGCTATTGTATTTGGCAAGGTAAATGACTGCTATTTTATATTTTCAAGACAGATAAGAGATGGTGGACCTGGAATAGTAAGGTTGAGCATGCAGTTCATCCAGTTTTAGGGTTTCTCTCCATCACTGGGTTGGGACCTTGTCTAATTTAATCACCTCCTGAGTTCAACTGCTCACTTATGCAAGTGCTTAAAAAGACTTGTGTGCCTGCTTTGCTTCACATGCACATTATGCAGCTAACAAGCCCCAATAACATGGATATTGGGGCTTGTTGGGCAGCTTACTGAAAGCTGCAATTGAGATAATGCTATGCATGGAACCAGCTCTTTTCCATTTAGGGAGGGTGGTCAGTAGGGAGGTCAGTTGCAATATACTTTTGCTTGTGGCACCCAATGGCTTTCTCCCCATTCTAGTCTCAATCCTAGTCCAATTCCTCCATCTAATCACTTCATTTGCCAGTATTGCTGATGCTCTTAGCATTGGTGGTAACTGGTTTTCTACTGTCTCACATCCCCTTTACCCTTTGTATATTATGACTGTAGATTGTATGATACACTTTGTTTCCTTCCCAGAATCTTCCTATGTACATCTTCAAATACTCAGGTCTCTATATTAGACTTATGCACGGCAAAAAAAATCAGTTTAGCCAAACCAATTGGTCAAAAAGAAATTTTGTGGCATTTCATCTCTGGCAGCTATCGTTCGTGCAATCACTTCGGGAAAAACAATTCAGACAAACCAAAAGGACATGATAATGGGCCAGTCAGCGTAGTGCAAAATAAATATAATAATACATACTTATATATTTAGTACAAATTGAAAATCATTTGAAACTGAATGCTCAAGTCTACTATATATGATTATGCATATTTATTTCTACAAACACAATACAAAAACACGTATTCTAAAATACTGTGTTTCTCTTCCTGTAATTTGAATTATAGGGAGGGTGTAGAAACTACATTAATAAACAAAACAATATTTTCTGAAGCCTGTTTTAGCATTTAGTGCAATGACTTTGCTTCATTTTGGTATGCTATTACTGGTGAAACTGTCATACAGTCTTGCTATGCTTTTGCTGTAATTTGACCAGTGCAACCTCTCTGCCATTACCTTGAGTCTATCCATTGTTCACCTGCCACTCAGCCTATCGCTGCTATTACTGTGATTTTACCTTTGTGTAAAAATTACACAGCTTCTCTATTTATGCAGGTTTACTACAATGCATGCCTGTCTAACAGCCCCACACTGTCATTTCATTACAGTTATTCCTGTGCATCTCTCATACCGGTGCTATAGTTTTCCTCCCATTGGTCTATTATATAGGTGCTTGCTGACTTTTCTCTATACATTTACTCCAGTGTATCTGTCATACAGGTTTATTTTCTGTTTTGTATGTTTACTCTATCACACTTTTACTAACTGGATTTTCAGTATGTTTTAATTGGGAATCTTTCAATATAATATTTTCCTTGTGTATACTTCTGTGTATCAACCGTACATTTCTCATCTCTTGCTTTTCAGTGTATTTTTAATGCAATCCTATCATGCAATTCTTGTAGCCTTTTCTCTGTTTTACTGTCTGTAATTCTATCATACTGCCACTTGCTGCCACTTACATATGTAACTACATAAAATAGCCACACAGAATTAAAATCACTACCAATGCTGTAGGTTTAGTACAATGAAGACATGTCCTAAATGTTAGAGTAAAGTTATTGAGAGTCACATGACATTACTTCTATGGCTGTGCATGTGTACCTTGTAGTCACTGCTGTCATCATTAATGTGAAGTTTTCTAGCTGTTTAGTTGTGTCATACGGTAATCATTATCAGTTACTATTATTAGTTTTATTATTATTGCCATTTATATTGCGTCAACAGATTCCGTTGCGTACCTCAATATTATAAGAGGGGGGATTTAACTATAAATAGGACAATTACAAGAAAATTTACAAAAACGATAGGTTGAAGAGGGCCCTGCTCAAATGAGCTTACAGTCTATAGGAGGTGGGGTATAAAACACATTAGGACAGGAAATAGCAGTCAAATTAGGTGGGAGTGAAGCAGAGCTGGAGGAGAGAGTAGAGTGCTGCCCTTTAGGACAGAGCAAGGGACAGGTATGTGAGGCCATAGGCTTTCCTAAAGAAATGGGTTTTAAGGCACTTCTTAAACGATTGAAGACTAGGGGAGAGTCTGATGGCAGTAGGTTGGCTATTCCCTAGGAAGTGAGCCACCCGTGAGAAGTTCTGCAAGTGCGAGTTGGCAGTACGGGTGCGAGCAGCTGACAGAATAAGGTCACAGGCAGAGCGGGGAGACCGAGAAGCGGCATACCTATGGATCTGTGAGAAGATATAAGAGGGACTAAGATTATTCAGTGCTTTATAGGTACGGGTTAGCACTTTGAATTGACTCCTATAGTATACAGGAAGCCAATGTAAGGACTGACAGAGGGGTGAGGTGTGAGAGAACTGACTAGAGAGGAAAATCAGTCTGGCAGCAGCATTCATTACAGACTGTAGCGGGGCAATACGGTTATTGGGAGACCAATTAGGAGAGAGTTACAATAGTCCATGCGAGAGATTACTAGAGCATGGACAAGCTTGTGTAAGAAAGGGGCGGATGCGGGTGAGGTTTTTGAGGTGGAATTGGCATGATTTGACAACAGACTGGATGTGAGGCTCAAAGGTGAGGCCAGAATCAAAAGTAAAACCAAGACAACATGCTTGTAAGCATGGGCTGATATGGGTACCACCAATCTGAAGGGAGAGCGAGAGAGGAGGATTAATATTAGGAGGAGGAAAAACAAGAAGTTCTGTTTTGGAAAGATTCAGTTTCAGAAAGCAGGAGGACATCCAATCAGAGATAGAGGAAAGGCAAGAGGTGACACGTTGCAGGACATCAGGGAAGAGGTCTGGGGAGGAGAGATATATTTGGGTGTCATCAGCGTACAGGTGGTATTGGAATCCAAAAGAGGTAATAAGTTTGCCAAGAGAGGCAGTGTAAAGAGAAAATAGAAAGGGACCAAGGACAGAGCCTTGGGGGACTCCAACTGAGACAGGACAAATGGTGGAGGTATCATTAGAAAAGGAGACACTGAATGAGTATTGGGAGAGATAAGAGGAAAACCACAAGATGACAGAGTCACAGAGACCGAGTGATTGAAGAGTTTGTAGAAGAACATGATCAACGGTGTCAAAAGCAGCCGAGAGGTCAAGAAGAATTAGTATGGACTAGTGACCTTTGGATTTAGCTGTGATAATGTCGTTAGTAACTTTGATAAGGGCAGTCTCAGTAGAGTGGAGGGGGTGGAAGCCGGACTGAAGAGGGTCAAGGAGAGAGTTGGAGTTGAGGAAGCATGCCAGATGGGTGAAGACTAGTCTTTCAAGAAGCTTTGAGGAAAAAGGGAGCAGGGATATAGGTCGATAGTTAGAAGGGGAGGATGTGTCAAGGCATGTTTTTTTTTTAAGATGGGTACTACAGTAGCATGTTTAAGGACAGCAGGAACAGTGCCAGAATAAAGAGAGCAGTTGAAGATGTGTGTTAAGGAGGGTGCAAGACAAGACGAGAGAGATCTGATAAGGTGAGACGGGACAGGATCAAGCGAGCAAGTGGTGGGGCGAGAGGAAATGAAAAGCGCAGCCACCTCTTGTTCAGTAGCCTGGGAGAAGGTCGGAAGGGTCGGAGCGGCGTGATCCAGGTGAGGTTGAGAAAGTGAGGGGCTAGGTGGTGAGAATTCTTTCCTTAGCTGTTCAATCTTGTCAGTGAAGTAGCATGCAAAACTATTGGCTGTAAGGTTAGTTTGGGGGGTGGCAGAAGTAGGGCAAAGAAGAGCGTTAAAGGTATCAAAGAGACGCCTGGGATTGTGAGAGCATGAGCGAATAAGAGAAGAAAAGTATGACTGTTTGGCAAGGGCAAGAGCTGTGCTGTATTAACGCAATATGAATTTGTAGTGTAGAAAGTCTGACTCGGTGTGAGACTTCATCCAGCAGCATTCAGCAGAACAGGAACATCTTTGCAGTAGCATGCTGATTTAGTGTGCCATGGTTGGGGGCGTATTCTCCTTGAGGTGCGTATTTGGAGAGGGGCTGCAGTGTCAAGGGCTGACGTGAGGGTAGAGTTATAAGAGGAGGTAGCCAGTGAGGGACATGAGTAAGCAGGAATGGATAATAGTTGGGAATCAATATCAGCTTACAGCTGCTGGAGGTTTATAGAACTCAGATTCCTTCTGAGTTGAGGAGGGTTAGGCTGAGGTTGTTTGGGGAGGGGGCTATTGAGAGCAAATTATAGGAAATGATGATCTGAGCAAGGCAATGGAGTGTTGCAGATTTTAGAGGCTGTACATTCATGATTGAAAATAAGGTCTAGAGTATTGCCCGCTACATGGGTGGGGGAATTAGCATACTGTGATAGCTCAAGGGAGGAGGTAATAGAAAGTAGTTTTGAGGCTGCTGGGGTCAAGGGTGGGTTAATGGGAATGTTGAAGTGTCCGAGAATTACAGATGGTATTTTAGAGGAGAGGAAATAACCGCAGAAATATAAAAACATTAAAAAAATATAAAAATCGAAAAGTGGTCACTAAGGGGTTAAACTATTACAAACAGGGC